TCCCTCGAGTGACTGCCATGCTCGTCCTGAATTTCTTCATGTCCTTGTGGTCCCCCAAGCGGTCTGTTGCATATAGCCGACTAGAGGCTGGTGTGGCAGTTGCTCAGGTGACCCCTGAGGCAGTGGCCAGGGTTTGAAGCCCAGGGTTTGAGTCTCACTGTGTGGCCTCGGTCTGTGAGCTTCAGCTTCCTCCCCCATCCCAGAAGGGGCATAGATTGGAAGCTCGGGGGCCTCTCGACTGTATCCTTTGTCCAGCCAGGGTGTGCGGAGAGCTGGCCAGGGCTGGGAGGCTTGCGGCAGGGTCCAACTTCAAAGGTGAAAGTGAGTTCCCAGCAGGGTGTACACTTGGGGCAGGCCGTCTGGAGACTTAGCTTTCTTTGGGTAGGCGAGGGAAGCTGGGAAAGAAAAGCCTTTTGGAACCATCTGTCTGCCCGCTAAGCTTCACCAAGGCCAGCACAGGTGCCGACTCACTGGAACTGAGCCCCTGGCCCAGCAGGGGCCCTTCTGACCGGCTGCCTCAGTGGCTCCTTGCATTTTGCTTCCTCCATCTGCAGAGGCCAGGATGTGCTGCTGTCTGAGCTGCTGATGCATGACCTGGAGAACCCCTCCTGTCCTGGGGCTCGGACAGCTGCTCCCCCAGATGTCAACCCTCTTATCTGCTGTGGCAGAGAGGGCCGTAGCAGTCAAGGACAAAGGGAACTACATCCATTTCCTCTGTGTGCTGGCATGCAGGCACCTCTGCCCAAACAGAGTGGGGATGATGAAGCTAAGCAAGAAAACCTGTCACGTGTAGTCCCTGTGCCTCTCACCCATCAGGTTGGTGGCAGCCGCAGGATGTTGGGAGCACTGGAAGATTAATGCAGCCTTAGGGGAATGCAGAGGTAGCAGCCCTGGAACAGAGAAGGAAAGGAGACCTCGTCCAGCTCCACGATGAGTTCTGCTTTCCCTATCCACCTTCAAGAGAGAAGGTTCAGTTGGAGAAGACTTGGAGACAGACAGTCGGGATTGTGGAGACAATCGGGGAGGTGAATCTGAATGTTGGAGGAAATTTTTGGAAGAAAGAGAACGATCCAGGGAGACAGAAGTCAGTTGGTATAAAGGAGACAGTGAGAGTTGTCTCGGGATGGGTTGGTTGATCTGTCCATCCATCCCACGCATCCATGTATGTGCATGCATGCCTCATCCATAATCCATGTATGTATCTACGAATGCAGGCCTTCATCCATCCATCCGTCCATTTGTCCATCCATCCATCCGTGTGTCTGTTCATCCATCCGTGTGTCCGTCCATTCATCCATGTGTCCATCCATCCATCCATGTGTCTGTCCATCCACCCATCCATCCATCCACCTACTCACCCACCCATCCATCCATGCACCCATCCACTTAAAGGCAGTGGAGCCTGACCATGCACAGTGCACCTGAGAATGCTGCTACATCATCTGTCGAATGTCCATGGCCCTTGGTGGTTGTCGGTCACTCTGTTGCTGATTTGCGTAACCTCTGGCAAACCTTCCTCAGGTGTGAGATGGGGCTCACGATACTTTCGTGTCTGCAGAGGTCACAAGCAGCTGGTGAATAGTGAGTTCACATGATTACCCAGACTTGTGCTTAGTGCTACAGTGCTGAGGGTTTCTGTGTTTGCAGATGGACACTGCCACTGCCTCCAGGCTGTGAGGGGCCCACCTTGTAGAAAAGACATGACTCATGAAGCTGTCACCCCAGGGAACTGTGGCTCCTGCCCTGCTGTGTGGTTTTGTGTATAGGAGCTGGTCCTTGCCACCTGTCCACCTCCCCCCGAGAGGGATGATGCCTCAGTCTTCCGATTCGTCTGCAAGCTGGGTGGGAGGACAGGAGAACTGATGGCTTCCTGCACACCCTAACCCCAGGAGCTAGGAGCTGCGGGAATAAGCAGAACTGTACAGTCGGAGTAATTTGTTAATTTTCTTAAGTGACGCTGCCCAGTCAGAGCCATGACATAAACACGAGTGCAGGCTGCAGCCCCCGGCTCTGGTGGCACAGGGAGTGGACTGGATGGGTGTGCAGGGAAGAGGCAGGGAAACTGGAGTCTGAGGCAGAAGGTGCCCCACCCCTAGGGGCCCTGCTCCCCTCCTGCGGCACTGGGTATGGGGAGGAACTTAAGGAGGGGTCCTGGGCTGCTTCTGTGGGCTGCTGACTTCGGAGGTGTCCGAGATGCTGACCCAGAGGCATGGGAGGAGCTGGGCCAGTGTCCAACGAACCACCCACCCCCAGTGGGCCATGGGCGGGTCACCTGGCCTCTGGGTCTCATTGTTCTAGGCTCAGAGTGGACGTAGGGGGATGTTCCTAGGAAGGTTTGTTGGGAGTCGCGATCCCAGGACTCCCGATATGGGCTCCGGGGAGTGGCAGTCATTCCCGCTGTGTCCCTCCACGTCCTCCCCTAGCTGCAGGAACCCTGCAGGCCTCTTCCCTCTACTCTAGCCACCTGAGCCTCGCAGCGGGCTTCCCTCTGGTGCTCTTGGTGTCTTCCATTGCCAGATTTGTGCTGGGACCTGCTGGGAACAGAGATGGGTGCAGCAAACATTTCTGTGTTCTGGGCTTTGCTACTTGGTACCCTTGGGCCAAGGAACAGGCTGGGAGGGTGGAGGGCTGGGAGCTGCATGGGCTTGAGGTCCCCTTCCAACAGCCCGAATGGAGGCCTCACCCGGGCCAAGGCCACTGTGTCCCCTCCACGTCTCCAGGGACTGCAGTGAGGGCCAGAAGCCCAGATACCTAGCCAGTGGTTAGTGCTTTAAAGCAAGTAAAGCAGACTGAGGGCCAAGCGGTCAGGGCAGGTGGGGACTGGGGAGAGCTGGATGTCTTTGTCCTGTCTGAGGTGGGACACAGGCACTCAGCACTTCCTGACCCGATGTTACATTTTATTTATTTATTTTGAGAAAACGGAAAGAATGCAGTTTCACTGGGAATCTCTCAAAATTTTAATGCTGGCAACAAATTCAGTTTTTTAGAAAACCATTGTGCCAAACAAAATACGTCTGTGGATGGGTCTGGCCGGCAGGCTGCTAGTTTGCAAATTGTGGGAAGCTGACTTTTTCGCCCAAAAGTTTTTGTACGTTTCCTTTCAACATCTTCTATAATGCCGAGACCAGCATGTAAGGCAGGTGTTGCTGTTCCCATTTTACAGGTGAGGAAACAGACATGGAGGAACTAAGTTGTACAGTAAGTCGGTGGTGAGATGGATCAGGGACCCAGGTGACTACAGCCAAGGGCCCTCGGCTGCCGTGTCCTCATTACCTCCTGGAGCTGAACCAACTGCACAGAAGCCTGGCGTGTCTCAGGCAGCGAGGGCAGACTGTGGTTTTCTGCCTCACCCACCAGCCTGGCCCACCCTCAGCAGCCTGCTGGGAGTCTGGGGTCATCCACAGCTGTTTGCCGTAGCCGTGGGGCACGTGGCTGGCTGGCGGTGGCCCCAGCTGGACAGGTGTGGAGTTTGGCCCCGACTTCTGGACTCGTGTGTCCCATTGGACAAATAATAGAATGGCGTGGTGGTTGTGGCTCCGGGGTGTGCAGTGGCATCGGGTCACAGGTCTGGACCAGCACCCTGCCCTTTTTGGGGTTTTCCAGAGGCCAAGGAATGGGCTTCTGCCCGGAACACCCCCGTCATGGCCGAGACTCATCTGTGTCCTCCCAGTCTGGGTCTGTCCACTTCTGAGAGTCCTTGACCATGGAGCAGAGGCGTTTCTTGAATTTGTGTCCTGAGGGGATGCACGCAGAGCCAAAGAGAGACTTTCATGTCGCAGTTGTGCATGCGCAGGGAAAGCTCCTGGGCTGTGGTGCCCTGCGGAGACAGACTCCTGGGGAGACAGACTGTGTTGGCCTGACAGGAGGGCGAGGAGGGGAGGGCACGGCCGGGAAGGGGCACGGAAAGGGTCCTCAGGTCCTGGGAGGGGCTGGTCGCCAGGCATGCCCACCTTGATCAGCAGGGAAACCGGCCTCAGAGAGGCTAAGTGACTTCCTGGTTGAGAGAGCCAGAGCCAGAATTTGCACTCAGGTCAGCTGGCTCCAAATGCAGGGACACTGCCCTGTGTGTGAATTTGTGGCACTCAGAGCCACCCAGGGGCAGAGTAGAGTGTGAGGTGCAGCTCAGACGCTCTTAGCAATGGCCCTTCCCTTTCCACGTACCTCAGTTTCCACATCTGTGTAATGGGGAAGATTCGAGAGCCAGCTCAGTGCCAGGCATGATCGTGTTTGTGCACTCCATCACCCTGGGATGGCCCAAGCTGTCATTCATCAGCTGCTGAAGACTTCAGGACAGAAGTTCTTTTCTTCCCGAAACACTTGGATTTGTAAAGTTTAGCATCTCTGGCACTGCTCTTTCAAAGAGCACAAAATGCTGCATATTTGGCTGAATGGACACCATCTCCTCACACGGCCCTTTCCTGACCGCACTGGGGCCTTGCCTACCGGGAGGGGCTGGAGGAAGGACTCCAGGTTCACTTGGACCCACACTGGGGCCTTGGGACCATTGCAGCTCCCTCCCAGCCCACAGAAGCTCAGGCAGAGGCTGGGAGTCAAGAGTCCAAGCCCAGCGTCAGGCTGGCTCTGGGGTGGGGCAGGTGCAGGGCCCGGGGCATTCCTGAGGCTGGGGCTGGGGTAGCCTTGGGCTGGCGAGCACCCAGCCCAGGTGCCAGATCGCCCTGAGGCCACTTACTGTCCTGCTTAGGGCGTCTTGTCTGCAGAGGTGGGCCTCCAGAGGAGGCGACTCATGCAGCCTGCGGGAGCAGCCCGGGGTGTGTGTGCACACGGCACAGTGCAAGTGGCTCCAGCGTAAGCCCTGTGTGCTTTGATTCCATTTAGCCCGTGGGCACTGGGATCTTTCCCAAGGCAGGCAGGGTTCCGGGGACACCAGTGGGTTGCTGCCTTCTTGGGCCAAGACCCTGCTGCCTGCCTTCACTCAGCAGCTCTGTGGCTTCCAGCAGGGCCCACCCACCGTGCGCTGTCTGTCCGTGTCCACCCCGCAGGCAGCCTGCCCTACGAGTACAAGATTGTGATCGCCGGCAACCACGAGCTGACCTTTGACCAGGAGTTCATGGCCGACCTCATCAAGCAGGACTTCTACTACTTCCCATCCGTGTCAAAGCTGAAGCCGGAGAACTATGAGAATGTGCAGTCCTTGCTGACCAACTGCATCTACCTGCAGGACTCGGAGGTCACGGTGCGGGGATTCCGGGTCTACGGCTCCCCATGGTGAGTGCACTGGGCGCCCTTCCTGATGGCCGAGAGGGAGAAGGGACAGAGGTGGCAGGCGGGGGAGTGGCGGTCCTGTGAGGTGCTGGGCACAGAGCTGAGCGGAGGGCCCTGCCCAGGAGGTAGGGGTGGTAGGGATGGTGGCTGTGGATCGTGAGAGCCAGGACTGAAGCTCATTCCCTCATCCTGTGTGACTCCAGGCGGCTCATTGGCTCCCTCTGGGCCTCAGTTTCCCCACAGGTAACCCGGGAAGGCTAACAACAGCCGTGTCCTCTGTGCTGTACATCGCCCCACACACAGGCAAGCGCTGTTATCTCTGTTTCATAGGCGAGGAGACTGAGGCAGAGAGAGGCTGAGGACCTTGCTAAAGGTCACACAGCCAGAAAGGAGCAGAGCTGGGCTTAAACCCAAGCAGGCTGGTTCCAGAACTCCTGCTTTTAATCATTGTCTTGTGGCATCGGGGTCCTTCTCTGTTGCCTGTGTTCTAACCCTACACCGAAAGATATGTGGGGCTGGAGATTGATTATCCTGACTGCGGAAAGGCAGTCGGAATGGCCCTGGGTGCCGGAGCCCTGGCCGGCAGTGTGGGGACGGCAGGTATTTAGAGAAACCAGACTCACGCTGAGCCCTTGCTCTCGCTGCGATGCAGAGCGACCAGGTCTGTGCCTGGGCTCACCTGGCCGGGTGGTGGCCAGTGTGTCCGCGGGAGTCCTGGGGATGATGGTGACGGTGACTGCGACGACCCAGGCAAAGGGGTGGCGATTAGGTCGGTGAGGAGGTGACGGTGGTGGCGACCGCGACCGTGGTGAGGGTGACGGTGACGGCCGAGGGTCCTGACGATGGGCAGCTGACGGAATGATTCACGAGGACGGTGGCGGTGACGGCGATGGTGATGGTTGACAGCAGTGATAGTGTAGGAGCCGACCTACGAGCTTGAGCCTGCCAGAGGGTGACGAGGACGAAAAGAGAAGACACAGAGTCAGGTTGAAATGTGGAGGCTGGAGGGCCCTTGTCTGCCTCCCATGGAGAGCCCCGAGTGACTGGCACTCTCGGCCTTGTTCACTCAGACGCAGGTACAAGCGGTTAGGGTCCCACAGGATTCATCTGTCTCCCACCGTCCGAGGAACTTGTCCGGGTAAAGGACGGGATCTCGGCCGGTTTTACGTTTCCCTGCAGCCTGTCGACACACTTGCGCACCGTCTTTCTAATTAGCCCTCAATCTCCCTATCTGGTCTCCCGCAAGTGAGACAGCAGCAGCGGTGGTGGTGGTGATGGAGACAGCAGAAAACTTTCTGGCGGTCGCGGCAGGCTGGACCCTGGTCTGAGGGCTCCAGCACCATTTTCTGTAAACCGTACCCAGCCACGTCAGGACTGATTTATTCTCTCCATTTGTCATCGTCACTTCCTTGTCGCTGAGACGCAACACCGGCAACTTAAGGGAGGAGATATTTATGTTGGCTCAGGTTTTAGTCCATGGCTGGCTGCAAGCAAGAAACAGCGCGGCACAAGGGCGTGGTGGAGAAGATGGCTAGGAAGCAGATGGAAAGCGGGGAGCTGGGAAGGAGAAAAACCCTTCTGGCCCTTCCAAGAATGAACCCAGTGGCCGCCTCTTCCAACCAGAGCCTTCTCCTAGCAGCGAGTCATCTGCCAGCCCTATAATCAGATCACCTTGCAGAAGCCCTGCCCGTGAGTGCGTGAGGCTCTCGGGGACCTCTGGTTAGAAGACAGCACCATCCTATGGGGGGGCACTTCAGGTGTTCCTCAGTGTCCCCGCTGGCAAAGGCCACAGGATGTCCTGTGCAGGCGGGGGGAGGCAGGTAGCACACACCAGAGGGAGAAACCTCCTATGCTCCAAAGTGTGGGGTGATGGAGGGCTCCCCGGAGGGTGTGGGTCGCTGAGGGATGAACAGGACACTCACAAGCTAGGAAGAAGTGGGCATCTGGGGGTAGGGACAGGGGCCTGTGTGGGTGGAGAGGCTCCAGGGAAGGTTGCTCCCACGCAGCGCATCGGGTTGGTGACACAGGGTGGCACCTGGGGCCGGGAGGCTTCCTGAGCCCCCAGGAGCCAGCTGCTGTCTCCCTGGTACTCACAGGCTCCAGGGTCTCAGTGAGCCCCCTGCAGCCTGTGAGGTCCCAGACGAGGCCCTTGGGGCACTTGGGGTATAGTGAGCTTGGGATCAGGGACAAGCAGGGTAGAGGAGGTGGCTGAGGCTGTCTGCCAGTGCCATGGAGCCCAGCCCTGATGTCTGCTGGGCAGAAACTCAGAAGGAGACCTCTTAGGAGGGGCTGGCATGGGCTAATGCACAGGAACATGAGGAAGGCAGGAGCGAGGGCCCAAGTGGGGTGGGAAGAGAGGAGGGGTCCGCAGGCTGCGAGGTGCAGGCCCTGAGTATCACAACAGCGAATCTGAATTGGGTCCCTTTGCCTAGTGGTTTATAATCCTCCTACCACCCCTCTTTAAGAAAAGTTGTGGCTCGAATCAAACTGCCTAAGCCTAAATCTTGGCCTCACCTTTAATAGGCTGTGGAATTTCAGTGCTCTACCAATGAGGTGCATCTTAGCCCTTTTTATTTTATTTTTATTTTTATTTAGTTTTTTTTGTTTTTTGAGACAGGGTCTCACTATGTAGTTGAGACTGACCTGGAACTCACTATGTAGCCCAGGCTGGTCTTGAACTCATAGCGATCCTCCTGCCTCAGCCTCCCAAGTGCTGGGATTACAGGAGTGTGCCACCACGCCCGGCTTATTTTATTTTATTGAGACAGTCTCACTAAGTCGCTAGGGCTGACTTCTAACTTGTAACCCTTCTGCCTTAGCCTCCTGAGATTATAGGCATGTACCACTGGGCCTGGTGAGAATAATTTTTAAATATGAATATATCTCATACAATATTTGGGACACAAGTAATCAAAAATTATTTATTCTTTATCTGAAATTCAAATATAACTCGGCATGCTGATTTTCACCTTGTACCCCTAATTCTGACATTTTTAGTTCTGCTTGTTTCTTTCTTTTTTCCTTTTTTCGGCTCTGGGGATCAAACTTAGGACCTTACGCTTGTGAGGCAGGTGCAGTGCCACTGAGCTAAATCCCTGGCCCACTTTTCTTTTTAAAAAAATTAATGGGATTTTGTGTTTTAGAAAAATTTTGCACTCATAGAAAACTTGAGTGGAAGGTACAAAGATTTCCCACATACACCCTTCATCTGCTTTATAAAAGTAGATGCAGTGCAGTATGGGTTACTATACAGGATGGGGTCTAATTTTATTGCTTATATTATTTTTTTAAGATTCTCTCATATTGTGATGGTTCTTTTTTTTTTTTTCATTGCTTGTAGGATTTCACTGAGTTGGATATTGCAATTTCCTTATCCATTCTATCCAAATGTAGCCACCATTGGCTTGGAGCTATTAAACTTAGTGTTACAATGAGCACTCTTGTACATGTCTCTTAGTGCACAGAAATGTATACCCTGGATTTGGCACGCAACACACACACACACACACACAGGTATGGATATAGCATCGGTGTTTGACCATGCAAGTCTGCAGTTCCAGAACAGCTGCTAACTAGTTTTTCAGAGCAGTTATGCCAATCCATTCCCTCTGTCAGCACTGATTTACCTTGCATCCTTGGCAACACTTGGTATTGTAGGGCCTGACATCTCATTCATTCTTGCGGGTATGTGCAGTTGTCTCAGTAGGTTTTGATTTGCCTCCCCCTGATGACCAGGGAGACTGGGAATCTTTTTATGTGTTTACTGATCACTGATTTCCTCTTTTGGAAAGTTTTCTTTTGGCCGTTGATAAAACTGCTTGGATGATCTGTCTTATGATTGGTTCATAGTTTCTGTGTGGATTCTGAATGTGACTGGAGCCCTTTGTCAGTTGCACGTTTACAAACTGCTTTCCTTCCCATGTGAGCTGCCTTCACCCTCTTTTAGTGGAGCTGTCGGGTGAGCAGAAGTTCTTGATTTGGGTGTAATAAATGTCTTAGTGTTTTTCTTCGTGGGAAGTGCTTTCTGTGCCCTGTTGAGGACGTCTTCCCTCTCTCTGAAGTCATGAAGATTTGTTTCTACTTTGTTGTCCAGAACCCTATTAATTTGCCTGTTATGTTTGGGTGTTGATGGTGTGAGGTAGGGACCTCATTTAGGGTGCTTTCACGTGGACAGCACCTGGCCCGTCCCATCGCGGAGGAAGCTTGTTGTTTGGCCTGGGGAGGTGGCCACTCTGCACTGCCGTCTTGGTCTGCACTGTGAGTGGCTGTCCAGACTCCCCTCCCACTGCTTTAGTCCGCTCGGTGGCAGGACCGCACCGTCATACTTATTTTAACAGTTGATTTCTTTCATACTACGTTTGCCTATCGGAACATCTGAGACTCCACGAGGCTGGCGATGCAAATCTTTCTTTTCCCCGTCTAATCTCTCTGCACTTAATTCCAGTCCCTAATGTAGTATTTGGCTTCTCATAATAAATATTTGTTGAATGAATAAACGAATGGCTGAATGAATAGGTAGGTGATGCCAGGCTGGATCTCAGGTTAAGACTCAGACCAGTTTCTCCGGGGTCTGCTCCTGTCTGTCACCGCTTCCCAGACCTGCCATCAACTCCTTGTCCCCCGGGTCTCCCTCTTCTCCATGCTGCGTGCGAGCTGCCTCCCGGCTCGCCGTATTACCACCCTCCTCGGTACCCCAGCTGAAGTCCAGACCTTTCTTCCCCTGAATCCAGGCCTGTCTGCTCCCCTGCGTGGGTTCCTCTCCACGCCTGCTTGGACAAGGATGGGACAAAAGTCTCGTCAGGACCCCTTGTTTCTGCTGCCACTCTCCTGGGCTGCCATGACTCTGCAGAACCCAGGAAAGATGTTTCTCTCCCTGGTCCCTGGGGCACCTTTAGCACGGAGGCTTTCTCTGTGGACAGCAGCTCAGGAAAAGGGCTGGAACCAACTGCAGGAGCAGAGGAAGAACTCAGCTGTTACAAAACCCTAAGTGTTAAAAAAAAAAA